GTCACAAATATGTTGACACGTTGGCGACAGAAAATGCGACACCCTACATGTTAGTAGCGCTATGCCGATGGAATCGGCAACAGAAATTAATTTTGTTGTGATGTTTGGCGTAAAGATAGATTTGACGTTTGAGATTGGCGACGGTACTTGCGACGATCGTTCTTTCCGTCGCTAAAATATTTATTTTTTTTTAAGTAAAATTTATTTTTGCTACAGGATTAGACGACAAAATCAATTTCTTTGCCAATATGTTAACACATTGTCGATAGAAAATGCGATGCCCCACATGTCCGTCGCGCTATGGCAATGGAATCATCAATGAAAATTAATTCTGTTGCGATATTTAGAATTTGCGACGATCATTCTTTCCGTCACTAAAATATTTAATTTTCAAGTAAAGTTTATTTTCGCTATAGAATGAGACGATGGAATCGATTCCGTTGCAATAGGTTAACACATTGGCGACAGAAAATGTGATGCCCCACATGTCTGTGGTGCTACGGCGATGGAATTAACAACAGAAATTAATTCTGTTGCGATGTTTGGCGCAAAGATAGATTTGACGTTTGAGGTTGGCGACGATCGTTATTTCTGTCACTAAATATTTAATTTTTTAAGTAAAGTTTTTTTTTTTTTTACGCTACAGAATGAGATGACAGAATCAATTCCGTCGCCAAATATGTTAAAACATTCGTGAAAGAACATGTGATACCCCACATGCCCGTCGCGCTACGACGGCGAAATCAACAACAAAAATTAATTTTGTTGGGGTGTTTGGCACAAAGATAGATTTCACGTTTGAGTTTTGCGACAAAATTTACGACGATCATTCTTTTCTGTCACAAGAATATTTAATTTTTTTTATGTAAAATTTATAATTTTTAATGGTCGAATTTTGCACTAGATTTGGTATTACAATTGGAAAATTTTCAAAAATATTTAAAGTAAATTAAAATTGCATATGAATTATTAAAAATTATTAAGGTTATTTAATTGTATACATAAAAATGTAATAGGGGGTTTACTCATTTATAAATTTTTTTTATTTAATAATAATAATAATAATAATAATAATAATAATAATAATAATATTTATTTGTACTTTGTATCTTCAGACAAAGTAAAATCAAAATTGGGTAAGAGAAATAATCGTCGGGGTGTTTTAGATAGAGTTGCCCAATTCACGCATACCACAGGATAAACACCTCATGTCAAAGTTGCCATTCAACTTGTAAGTCCATTTGAATTGTTTAAGTTACAAGTGATTATGTTTGGATTGTTTGAATTATGTGTTATTGTGTTGGTAGAAAGTTTTGTTGAGATTATTGTGATATGATTTTATTGTGCCTATTGAGTTGATGTTTGAGATGTTTGTGTTATATATTAAGCAGAGAGATAGTTCTATTTATAAAGTAAAGTTTGCTGATTTTTTTTTCTTCAAAATTTCGTTTGTTTTAAAATTATAATTATGTATTTTTGTGTTGGTAGAAACTTTTGTTGAGACTATTGTGATAAAAACAATGTGATTATGTTATATTTTGCTTACTGAGTTGATGTTTGAAATATTTGTATTATATATTATAGTCTTATTTTTCTTAATTTTTGTTTTATTTTGTTTCCGTTTTAACTAACTTTTAGGAAGAGCAATTCAGTCATCGTCCATAATATTTTGAATTGTTCATGTATACACATACCAAAAAAATATGATGGCCAAACATTTATAGTTGAAAAAGACAAACGAATCCATGTAATTTTATTTATCTTAAATTTCCTTGAATATATATGAATTTTGATAAAAATTATACTAAATTTTTTAATTTTTTCAGGAGCAAATTGCACTGTAACGGGAGATATTAACACAAAATAGAGAGGGAGTAGTTGAGAGTCAATTGTACTCTGATGCAATTGGTGAGCATGATAAGAAAAGAAGAGTTTATGGGCTTGGCTCATATGGTACCTTCATTCGTTGTCCAATAAATGCTAACACATCAGACAATATAACATTAACCTCGCAACCATCATACAATGCTAATTCTACAAAGATGCAAGATGAGATTGAGAATGTGAAGGCTTCTATGATTCTTATGCAGCAAAGTTTAGATATTCTTGAGAGTAAGAGAACTGGTACTTCATCATCACCCTCATCGCAACCGAATTCAACTTGATATTGATTTTTCTTTTATGGATTATTATATTATTGTTTAGACATGAATTCGGTATTAAGTAAAACATTTAATTTTTTGAACTATAAAGTAGTATCACTTTTATATTAGAAATTATATTGTATTTTAATTTGCATTTTAATATTTTAAATAAAAATAATAGAATTTTAATAAAATAATAATAATTATCAAAATATTTAAATAATAATAATTTAGAAGAGTCGCGACGAAATATGATTTTAGCGATGGAATAATCATTGTCATTATGGCAACGAAATTGGTAACGGAAATATTATTGCCGCCTAAAACGCGATAGAAGCACGACAGTGATTAGTTTCGTTATTTTTTTACGACGAATTTTTGTGATGGAAAACAAACTTTGCGACGGAATATCTAGCGATGGAATCACTACGGAAATTTATTCCGTCGTTTTCTTACGACGAAATTTTGCGATATAAGGCGAAATTTGCAACAGAAAAGTTAGCGATGGAATCGCGACGATAATTTGTTCCGTCATATTTTAATGACGGAATTTTACAACAGAATACAATAATTATTTTCGTCAGAATACAAATTTGCAACGAAAAAGGATAGTGACAGAATCGCGACAATAATTATTTTCGTCGTTATAATTCACAACAGAAATATGCAACGGAATATGAGTTTTGCGATGGAATATTTGTTCACAGGATGGCGACAGAAAGAAACATTTTCGTTGCTAAAACCGCGATGGACTCACGACGAAGTGATTTTCGTCGCCTACTTTGCGACGAAATTTTCCATCACCACTTTCCGTCGCCATCTCTCGCGACATATTATTTCCGTCGTGAAATGAAATACGACAAGCCTTGACACTACGGAATGGATTATGTCGCAGAAATGTAAAATTCCGTCGCAAAATGCGATTTGCGACGGAATTTTGCATTTTCGCGACAGAATCTTTCTGTCGCAAATCACAATTTTTCTTGTAGTGAGCGGATTTAAGCAAATTTAAAATCTGCTACGAACAGTAGTAAGCTGATGTTGTTCGCAACAGATTTTTGCTATTCTCAGCATGTTCGCTGCTGTGAACAGCAAGCTTGTTGTGGACACGCAGCAAGCAAATTTGCTGCGAACAGCAGCAAGAAATTCTTGTTGTTCGCAACAAACACAAAATTGCATAAATAATAATAATAAATTACAACATATAGTATTATGAAAATTTTGAAACATACCGGAAATTGATGAGAAATTTGTCTGGTTTAGATAGAGGAAAAAAACTCTATAGGGAAAATTGAAAAGTTTGGGGTTGGAGGGTCGGATTTCATCGATTTATATTAATGAAGAAAAAGTCTACAGAAATCCTATTCTAATAGAGTCTATGAAAGTTGATAAATATTTGAATACCAGTAGACTTTTAAAGACTATAAAAGTCTTAAACGAATACCAGTATACTTTTAAAAACTTTTGAAAAGTCTGAATCGAATACCAGTAGACTTTTAAATACTCTTTAAAAGTCTAACTTGAATACCACCAAACATTGAAATTCGTTAAAAGTCATTAAAACTCTTTTAAAAGTCTGGATTGAATACACCCCCCTTAATTATGCCTTTAGGATTGCATAAGTTAGGAATTATAATAATTCATTGTTAAGTTAAACTTTATGTGTGGAATTATATACGGCAGTGCATTATGTTTAACCACCTTTAGACCATCTAGAATGTTCACTTGAGATTAAAAGTCTTTCTATACGTGAACTATTAAAGATTTGGAAAGATTACTCGTCAATTATGCCTTTAGTGCGAGAAAACATGAACCGGAGAAAAGTTTCTCGGGAAGTGGCCAATGTGCTACTAGATCCTTTGAAACATTACTCTGTGTAAGAATTGTTTATCACATTGCTGCATAATTATTTTTAGGCTTTAAAGTTGATGCCTAAAATATCAAGATAATCGTCTAGTGATAATATAATTTTGATTAATTAAGGAGTAGGCACAAAATCTTTAATTAATTGAAATTTTCTGAGGTCACATACCATCATAGACATATTTTTTTGGTTTCCCAAAGGTATCCCTCCAGCCGATAGCCAGAAGACTAATCCCCCGTCCTTACTGTCAACACACTAAGTTGTAGGGGACTGGCCAAATGGTTTGCTCCATTCACATGGGTGGGAATCGAACCCCCTGTTGGATACTTTGTTGGTAAAAATCTAAATAATAATCCTACAAAAAGATTATTATTTTATGGAAAAGTTGGGAAGGAAAGGGTGAAGAGAAATGGCTCGGGTTTGGTGTAGGTTGTTAGCACGAGTCGAGCGAATCACTCTTTCCTTAAAACCTTATTTGCTACCTCCTATAAGTGCTAGGAGCGTTGTAGCCTAGGTTTCCCAGGATAAAACGTACTACGATTCAACGTTTGAGCACCCAAACTTTGAACCCGTTGAACAAGAGCAAGGCTTAGAACACAGTAGGCTAAAGAAATGAGTAGAAGCAGTGATTTTGGAGCTAAAACTATGGTTTCTTGTTATGAAAATTCTGCTGCTCTTACCCCTTCTTATATTGGGTTGAAGGAGTCGAATAGCTTCATTATGGCCATTAAAACTAACATAAAGCCAAGTGTCGTAACACCTGAAACAGCAGCCCACTAACTGAGATTAAATTCAAAATTTAAAATTGAAATTAATTCAAAATTAATTCCGTAACGGATGAATTTAATCTCACAATAGTCCAGAATGATTCTAGTTAGTCGAGCCAACAAAAAGGCTCGTGGTGTTGGAAAAGTATACCGAAGTTTGACCAACAAATGGCTTGTGGTGTTGGAAAAGTATACCGAATTTGACGGAGAATCAATATAAGAATGCGACTTTCGTTTCCAGTCTTCTTTTTTTGTTTTTTGTTTTTTTTTTTTTTTTGATTTTTTTGAATATTTGTTGATTAAAGGAAAAAGGGGGGGTTCCCTCTTTTTCTAACTGAAAAAAATAAAAAAAAGATTTGATTGAAGCATTTTTTGCTTCAATCCGCGGAACGATAGACTCTGGTGGAGTTTTGGATTCATATGAAGGATATGGGGATATAATAAAGAAGACACTAAAAGAAAATGAAAAAGAAAGAGAAGAAATTCAGACTTATAATGAATATATGTAGTATACATAGAAATTAGAAGAATTTTTCTTAATCTCACGAACAAGATCTAAGAATCACATTACTTACTGGAATAAGAATGGGAATAGGTCTGAATATCCGTGGTATTGATATTGAGAGGGGGTATCGCTTGGTCCTTGAACAATTTTTTCAAAAGATTCGTCTATCTGATTGAATTGGCATCTTGTCTTTGAACAGTTTTTTCAAAAGATTCATCTATTTGATTGAATTGGCATCTTCTTCTTGAACAGATTTTTCAAAAGATTCATCTATCTAATTGAATTGGCATTAGATGACAATGACATTCGTGCCGGCGTACACGAGTTTAGGCCTGAATTAAGCCCTTTCAGTCTCATTTTGAGATTTGATTTACACCCTTCCCCTCCCCCCCTCCTCTTCACTTTTCAAACTCAAATGCTACTTTGAGAATCAATATCTCATTCACTCATTATCGGTTTTGAGCGTACAATATATCATTCTCTTCATCTCACTACAAAGAACCTAAATCCACTTTTACCGGATCCAAATCAGAAGTGGACCCCATTAGTAATTGTACCACAAAATAGCCACTTAATATGTCATTTTAAGCTATTTTTTCCAACAATCCCCCACATGAATGAAAAATTGATTTTCAGGGTATTTTGAAATCGAAAACAAATGTGTTCATCGGTCGATCCCTGCATAGGATAGGTAGGGATTACCGCACCCTTTGAACCTTCCCTTATGAAGATATGTTTACTCTACTGGCTGTACGGTAGAACTCGATGTCTTTGAACCGACTGCCGTTTCTGTAGATGATGACATATCTCACACAGGAACCTCCCAACCATGCTCTGTTCTCATGACTGTGCCCGTTTTGGTCGTGGGTCACCGTTCCTGGTTCTGCAAGAGTTTGTGAAGAAATGAGCCATATTCAATTCTCATTTGAAGCGATCCTCACTTCTCTCTCACATAGGTGATTCTTCACCGAGTATCCCACATACTCACACATGTCAACCGACATTCGAATCATTAAAGCATCGACGTGCTAACCTCGTACAGGAATCACTATTCTAACGAGGAGTGGTAGGGAGTCTGAGACCCCCACAGTGACACACTCCGTTCCAGAATTTAGTTGTCCCATTGAACCTAGGTTCCAGCTTGGTTGGGTATCCACTATAGAAATTTTTAATCCAAGGGCTTTAGACACATTCCTCGTGTAACACCCCTAATTTTTAAAATATTTAAAGCTTATGGAATAAAGGCAAGTCTAACATTGATTGCCAAACAGAGCATAAACTAAACATGATAGTCGGGGTGCTATGCCACACCTGAGTTGGAGAACCCAGATACACAGGCTAAACTAATTAACAAAGCGTAATTAATATCCAAATACAAATCAAGGCACGCAGGCCATCTCATCAAACTAGAACTATCTAAACTAAGTCCACGAATCCAACTAGCGCGCTCCTAAGCTACTCAACAGATCCTGAAAAACATTCGGTGTAACAACCGTCATCGAATAATGCTGGTAACACACTCCAACGCGTTAAGTAAAATATAGGTAGATATAGGAAAATCATTTTGAAACTGGAATACATATATAACTTACGAGACTCTAATTTAAATCCAAGATCAAGACACAAGACATAACAATAAGCTCGACACTATAGAAATATCATAAAGACTAGCATGCGTTCTAAGAATACGATATAAGACATAATAGACAAATAAGCTCATAAATAGAAAATAGAGACAATAATGACATTCAAAGACAATCAATTAACAAGTAATCATCAAGGCACACAATCCATTTTCCAACCTTATACCAAGTTCCAACCTTGTGGCTCCCCTCCGTCCTTATATCAGTTCCAACCTATACCTCCAGGCCACCCTTATATCGCCTCCCTTATTCCTCCGAACAACTACATGCCCCCACCGACGAACCACCTATCAACCACCAACATATCAAGATAGCGCCGCAGTGCCATTTGCATGATCTGCACCTCTAGTACCAATATCAAGGGGTCAGCGCATATAGCCCAGACATGGCACCGCAGCACTTATAACCTAACCCATGCTCAACGACAAGCTAGTCGATGGTGGGTTTCTGCCTTTAACACAGTAACCGCTAGGCCTATACCTTTAGTACAATGACTGGACACTTGTTGTGCCAACTGCCAACAATTCATTTCCACCAATCACAATCTCAACATCATTATCATCTGTCACACCGGCCATTGCGTAATGACCACGATAGTCATCATCATTCAATCAACACATAATCAATCAAGACATAACAACAATGACACGTACTACGCATAAAATCCTAGAACGGTATTCAAAACTGTAATTTTGCATATCCTCAGTATAAGACTATCGATAGTTTTTAGCAACTGGAATACTGGACTGATAGACTCAGAGACTTAATTTATCGGTCATCCAGTTAGAAAGCAGATTAGTTTAAAGCGGAAGACTAAAGCGGAAAATAAATCAACACATATGATGTTTACCCAGTTCGATACAGTGTGTATCTACATATGGGGGACGATCACCGAGGCATCCAATCCACTAAATCATAATCCAATGTACAAAGGTAGAGAAATAGCAATCTCACCCAAGTGCCCCACACAAGGTTAGTACCCAGTCTACAAAGGTTTAGTGGATTGTTGAAGTCAGAGAGCCACGCATGCAGAAGTCCAATGAACTCCCTTCAATTGTAGAGCTAACTCTGATGCAGTCTATTTTAATGACGCAGTCCCACGTTGTTCCTACAACTGAGTGATCTTCGCGTCCTTTCGTTTAAGCAACGTTGATTCTTCTCAAGTTCTTCATCATAATCACCAAGAACTTATTGTCTTGAGAAGAGGCATGACAATCAGAGATGTGTGTTTCTGTTTAGCATCGAGTATTTTTTGCTTCAATCAACGCAACCCTAAATCTTGATCGACTGAGGATATATATATATATATATATATATATATATATATATATATATATATATATATATATATATATATATATATGTGTGTGTGTGTGTGTGTGTGTGTGTGTGTGTGTGTGTGTGTATATATATATATATATATGTGTGTGTGTGTGTGTAGATGGTAGGACTTTTTGTGAAGAATGAAATCTTTAAGATTCGGTCCATACCTTCCATGCTGATCTGCTGATATTCTTTCCAAAACTGTCATCACAAACCGCGTTCAGCATTTTGGAAACATCTTCCTTTATCAGATCCTCAGTGGCAGTGCGTTTGTTGATTATACTGATCGCTCAGTCTTCTATAAGAACAAACAGACACCAAGCTAAACCCTATCTTAATTTGCCATAATAATATTGCCAATTATATGTTGGGGTTTTGAAAAAAATAAAACACTAACAAACTCCCCCTTTGACTATTATTTGGCTAAACAACTCGACTAAGGATCGAACAATTTAGCTAAAGATAGAGACGAATAAATAACTGGCACATAAAGGAAATAATGTATGAAATACAACCAATAAAGACATCAGCACACAAGCCGTGCTGGGTAAAAACAAGGAACAGATCAATTCTTCACAAAACATAAAGTCACCACAAAAACACGCCCAGACAGAACCAGAAGATACCATAGAACACCATCACAATCACAAAAACTCCCCCTGAGTTTAGGCACTCCCCCTTTTTGCCAAAGATAGACAAAGGACACGTTAAGTATTGGAGGGACCTTCACTGTCAGACTTCACAGTATCACCAGCAGCAGACTCAATCAAGCTCAATCGAAGTAGAACAGTTGCAAGTTCAGTGCGGGCCGCATTGATCTGCCTTGAGATAATATCACTCACAATCTCCAGCTCAGACACATGAGCCTTCAGACGCAGGGACAACTGTACATCTCGAGCATATGGAGTATCTTCAACAGTAGCATCAGCCTCAGAGGTATGCGGAGGATCAACAGGTGTAACATCCCTAACGTGTTTGCCAGTCAACAGGCGTGGATCGACAGTATATAGGAGAGAAGGAGTAACAACCTCACTTTGCATCGGAACCAACCCCTGAGAAGTTAATACACCAAAAATGAGATTTGGATACGGAAGTCGTACCTTCTGTTCCCTGGGATGTATCAGTGTAAGAATATGATAGAAGATCCATTTCCCCAAGTCAACAGTCATCTTGGTACCAACTCTAAACAGAAGAGCTGCGATCCCACTGCTCCTGTGATACATTTTTTATATAGACTACACCATCTAGTTATACATGGAGATGAAGTGGTAGACAAAACTCTAAAATTCCTTACAATCCTTCAAGCAATGCTATAGAGATGATACTTATGGCGGGGGGTACTCGATCCAATATGCTTCGGCTATAAGGTTATAAGGTTATATTATTACATGTATTATGATTGTGTTGTTAGATATACAATAGTCTAACTATATGAACCATAGTATACGAGAAACCTGACCTCGTATGATAGCGGAAGCGTAGCCGTGTTGATCTCCAGCCATAGTTGATGTTCATGTTACATTGCCTCTTAACGGTAGACCGTTAGCCATGTTTTGCCTCAGACCTGACTCAGAACCCTAGATGGTGTATTGGTATCTACTGAGCAGTCTGAGTACCGTAACTGAATGTGCTAACTAATCCATAAACCTGTATCCCATCAATCCAGGTTTATATTAGGCACAGAGTTTGGTTGACTAACAACTACTAGTTATTAAGTCCAACCAGACCACTTAATAAGCCTAGTCAACTTGCACCACTTAATTAAGGCCCTAATATATAATATACAATATATATTATAAGGGAAAATCTTACATTCTCCCACTTGGTGCAAGTACTAGCACAACCTTCATCAAAGAACAAAACACACGAATCATAGTGACATGTCCTCTATTTAATCAGAGTAGTGTCCATTATGGTCACATGCATTTCAATTCTCCAACTTAGGTCCTTAATGAACAAACCCTCTGTTTATTCTCGGTACCTTAAGGGATGTTTCTCAAAATACATTATGTGCACAACTGAAGGAGAAAACGCATCCAAATTGTACAAAAGAGTACACTGTATGATCTCTAAAACTTTATAAGCATGCCTTAAGTAGAGATCTCTTAATGTTAGCATAATGCT